CAACCAAATACTTGTGGTAAACCAAACTTCTTGTGAAAATTCTCAATTAAATTTGACATTTCCGTTTCATTTTGGGGTAACCTGAGATAGTTTGGTCCTACTCTCTGGTTTATTGCATGACACACTTCTTTTACCACAGATGATAGTGTTGACTTGCCTACACCAAATGCATTGCAGGTCATCAAATAGGAGCCTTGATCCTTAAGATAATAAAGTGTCATTGCCACTTTTTTCTCTGGTGTTAAGGCATCTCTAACAGCATTTGGATCCGGTTCAATATCTTTTCGGACCAGATTTACTAAGTAGAGAAAATCATTTTTCGTCATTCTTAAGTTCTTTTTCCATTCTTCAGCCAGATTGTTTCCACTCAGTAGGTTATCCCACCATGAAGACGTTCTGCCGGGGTTTATCCAATGTCTTTTTGGAGTGTAATCTTTTCTCACAGCCCTTAACTGTAGCTCTCGTATCAAATGGTTTGCATCAACAACGGCTGACAAAGCTATTTGTTCATTTTGCCGCCTCCACTGGTCCAAAAATAGCAGTAAACAAATGTTTAACTGAAGTAGAGCAACAATCAGAGTGATATTTGTTAAAATCGCAGATAGTAAAACAATGTTTGTTTGTTTTGAAAGCATAATTGTGCTCGCGCCAAAAATTATCAATTTCCCGCCACAATTTTAATGCCCCGCGGTACAATTGTCCCGGGCTTGTGTGAACGAAAATAAATTTTGTCCCGGGACAATTTGCAACCCGGGGCAACTTGTTGCCCCGGGTTCATGAAAACAAGGCCTTAATGTCAACTATAATTTCCTCACACTTGTCTGCGTTCAACTGGAGCTTGTTGTTTTTTACTCCATTTCTCTACATCAGACACTGCACTCTGCATTTGGCTTGAGCTATTTCTTGGGACAACTTCGGCTAATGTCTTGTCGTCTACGTACTTCCACGAGTGCCCTGATGGTTTAAGAAATAAAGTAAAAATAGAATAGCATTAATAATTCTGTAATTGTACCTCTTTCATCCGAAGCGCTGCATTCGTCCAATTTCTCCAAAATGTTCTTAACATCACGGGACTGAAGTTTCTATTCTGGGTTTATAATAATAATAATATTCTGGGTTTTTTCTCTTCCCACAACTCCCTAATTTCTTTTCCAATCTCCTGTTTTTCTTCTATCCGTTCTAATTCGGCTTTGATCTGTAATATTTTAGAAACACAGCTGTGCATAAAAATATGGCATTATATTCAAACACGTTCGGGCATGCAAGAAATGAGGAAACATGACATAGAAATTCTGAGGGCAACATGGATATAGCCAGTGTATGTCATGATTTAGAGATCATGCCGGGGGGGGGGAATTGAATCGTAAGCATTTAATTCCAATAATTCCTGAAAAAGTTTTAGATAAACTACATGTATAGGTTACAAACACAATGAAGCGAACTACTGTACCTGAACACCTTTGTCATCCTTGAGAAAAGGATAATCCTGGAGAATTTTCCAAACCCTTGTGTCATGCAGGAGAACATCTTGTCTTCTCTTTGGATATATTGTCCATTAAACGTTTGACCAGACTGTAATCTCTCTTTCCTTTACGATGCATGTCTTGTAGCTGTTTTTGCTGGTGTTCCAGGGTATCCACAGTTTCACCCTCAGGAATTGCTGGTACAATTGGGGCTCTTCCCTTTTTCTTCTTTCGTCCTGGAATTCGTTTAGGCAACTCAATCCCTTCATCCAGTGATCGTTTCTTTTCCTGCTTTGCCAATCTTTTCTTGACATTGGCGAAGCGTTCCTGAATTTTTTTGAACCACATTTGCTGAAAAAAACAATTAATTGCATCATTAAGAATAATGCAGCGTATCAGAACAGTTTGCAATTTGATGCAAATACTGAAAAATACAATTGAAATAAAATACTTTAAGCAAACTTACATGTCCTGCACTAAATGTTCCTTTTAGGAATGGATACTTTTGAACCAGCAACAAGGCTATGTGTGTTCTTTCATCAATTGTTGGATATGAGGTATAGGTCATAATGGATGTGCAGAGTTGTCGTACAAGAGCACTTTTCTCTTGTGGGTTAAGTTGACCTTTATTTAGTGCTCGTTCAATGTCAGGTTCCCACTATAAACAAATCAGTAAATGTAAAAGAAAATTTTACTGATTTCAGAAATTTGCTTCAGTCTTTACTTTCCACACCTTATCATTATCATGAAGATTTGTAAGAAATTCGGATATTGGGCCTGGTGATTTGCATTTTACCATTAAAATCAACATCTCAGTTTGTAATAAGACAACACCTCAATTACACAAATGTTGTGTATGCTTTTGCGAAAAGATAATTTTCCCCAAAAAAGACTTCGTGATCATGTAATTTTCATGCACTTTTCTTTCGTTAGAATAAAACAATAACAAATCAAAATATCTTAGCTATTGTCTTACCCGTGTTGGTATGCAAAACTTGGTCAACCAATTTGAATCCCTGCCTGGATCAGCCTATACAAAAAAAATATTTTCAAGCTGCTTGGATATTCACCTCATTTACTGTCATTCAATGCGAGAAACCAGATTTTCTACATCCTAATAAAAACTAATAAAAGTCTGCAATGTTACCCATGCAAATATGCTGTAGGCACACGTACCAAATATTGCTAACATATTGATATCAACATTTACCTTGTTTTCTTTCGCGGATGATGTACTATTTGAATACAAGCTTCTACCACTATCAGGTTCTTTTGGACTTCCTTTATTATTGCTTGAACAGCTTGAACAAATTGTAAATAGAAATTAAATTAAATGACATGCCAATACAATTAAACCTTGCCAACATGAACTTATTACTACTGTAATTGTGTTAGTCATTTTTTCCAATTCTTCTGAAAAAATCAGCAAGCATATCACTTGGAAGTCCAGCTGTTGCATATGTCCGGGCTGTCAGGTTTTGGGTTCATCTTGTGGCCAAATGATGGTGTCATCTGACTGATATGATTCAGGGTCAACAGGCTTACATTCTTTTTTTCTTTCAGCTCTCTTTTTTCTCCTTTTTCTTTTTTGCTTATTTTTCTATTCATTTTCATTTCTTTCTCTGAAGAAATTGCTAATAATTAATTTGGCAAGTTAGGATTTGGGACGTGTCAGTGAAACAGGAAGTTGCAAACATCGAACTAGCATTTAAGAGGCTGTCTCTGTAAAAACCGCCCGCTTAAATTTCATTTAAGATATGATCTTCCTTAAAACTCTGCCAACTGAAAGACTTCACCAAACATAAAATAAAAACAGTATTGGTTTGGTTCAAAACTTTTTTCCAGTCGCGCTGCGAATTAAGAAATAGTTTGTCTTGTTAGGGTCCATTGGGACGTCTCGAAAATTGAAAATTACGCATTTTTCTTTGATTCGTGAAATATATTTCGCGTCAACTAGCCATAAATTTTATATCATTTTACTGATGAAACTTTCTAGTTTTCTCGACGAACAATAATTTTTACCTAATATTAGTTGTAAAGGCAAACTTAAGCATAATATAACCCCTACTTATCGCTATAAATATTAAACTGTAAATGACCTTGTTTTAAATCCCGTTTCTGACATTTTGGGACGTTGTCATTTGCTCTGACCCATTCATCCAAGAAGTGTAGTCCTTTATCGGCAAATATATGCAAAAACCCCTGTACGATTTTAGTATTTTAAAAGTTATGGCCGTTTGTATCAACACATATGCGTGCGTTTGCTATGATTTGCGATCAGTCGTCATGTTGTAAAATCACACTATATCAAGAAGATTCTATAATACAAATACAACAATATACAGTTTACCTTGTTACCAACTCAAGCTCAGTTCCTTTTTCAGTCATTTTCCAATTCCTCACATGGTCGATCTCATATTAAATATATTTATACATGTCCATGCCCCTCTTGACCTGCCCTGACCTTTGTTCTTTGAAGACTGTACTTTCATTCAAAACATTGGACCGATTTATACTAGACACGGATCATCCGTCTGGACGAATCATCCGTCTAAGTATGAACACAAGACGAACTATCTAGACGAACTATCTACACGAATTTGCAGGACGACCTAGAATTGCGCGATAACAACTGTATGGGAAGTTGGGAACGAACGTATGCGAGTAACGGAGCCTCGGATTTTCGGTAGTTCGTCCGCATGCCGTATTTATACTCCCAGACAGATCACCCGTTAAGACGAACTACGCACGCAAGTTCGTCTACATAGACGAACTACGCCGATAATTCGTCTTGACGGATGATTCGTCTGTTTGTCCGCGTTTACACACAGACGAACTAGAAGACGAACTATCTTTTCCTTGCCCAAGTTCGTCTAGACGGATGATCTGTCTCTAGTATAAATCCGGCCATTGCCACACTTTGCATAAATATCCTTTTGAAACATCGTTTCGGAACGGAATTTGTTTGGAAATCTTATGGGAATCATCACTAGTCTGGTATTTAGGAAGAAAATTTGAAAAATACGACAGAAGCTTGCATGAATTCGAAGAAATCACACTCTATCGGTTGTCATTTTGATAATGTTGTTACTAACAAAACCGCTAACGAACATAATCATAACCGATAAGTACAATCTGCAAACCGTGCAGACTATGTATAGAATGCAGATTAGGAATAAGCGGTATGCAGACTAAAATTGCAGATTTTGGTATAAAATGAATGACTATAGTCTATACTGAATGAATACGTTGAATGATTACATCAATCGTTAGAAAATGTTGTGCATTTCTGTCAACTGTAATACTACCAGCTGTTTCCTTCGCTTTCCTTAAAGTCGGTCGCCCAATTGTAATTAAGTTAGTACAATATTACTTATTAGATATTTGGTATATATTTTAATATATAGAATTAAAAAATTTGAGTTGAAATTTTACAGTCAGTTAGGCATATTGGTTTGCCGTTTGTTGTGCTCCAAGTAACAGGAGATTCATGTTAGAGTTAAGGAGTTTACAGTTAGGAAGGTTATGGTTCATGAGCAGGCGATAGAATGCTAGGGAGAAACACACTCACATTCCTGAATCATATCTGATAGTTTGTCTATAAGAACTTGCTTCTTATCTCTCGATTTGACAGGGATTTCAAAATAGCCACAAATGGTTTTCAGCATGGATACATTGAACTCTTTAAGCGTGTTGCTGAGGTATCGTTCGCACAGATCATACGTATCGTAGCAGATGGGATGCGACACGTTGATTTCACCGTTTACCAAGTCTACTAGGTCTTGCCTGTTAGAATGTTCCTGCAAGCACTCGACATCTTCATCCTGTTTATCCGACAGGTCAATCACTCCCTGACCTTTGCGACACTTTACTGCTAGCCGCGAGAAAAAGCCCTGAACTTGAGTCTTTGTTAGCCACTCGTTTCTACTGAATAGACGTTCATTTGATTCATTTTTCGCAGTTCGCATCCCCGATGCAACTTGGGTAGGGTCTGCCTTCCGTCCAGTTCTTTCACCAAGTGTGAACCGTGCTGTGAGGTACTCTTTAACCTTTTTTGAAAATCTAATGTTGCTCCTAGGCTTGCTCAAGGCCCATCCTTGTTGTAAAGATGAACTGACAGTGGCGTTCACCTCAGAGGTTTGCAGCTTCGTAAAATTTGACGAGCATGTCTTGGAATACCCAATATCTACAGATGCAAATTTTAGTGCCCAATCCCTTCTGATTGCGTCAAACTGCTTCAGCTTGCTGAAATTGTGCTGGCCGACATCCAGGTGTAACTCAAGTTGCTCAAAGGTGTCGAAGGCTTCAAGGCACCCATGTACAGAGCATTCGAACAATTGCGCTGGATTTTCCTTTTTCTTGCATTCTTCTGGGCGATGCTTGATTTCGCGCTTCTCAGGATGATCATAGAACCCTTGAGATTCCGGGATCGAAAGCATTGTCGGAGCTTGATGCTTGATATATATGTCGTCGTATGGAATCTGCTTCCCTTTACCGATACCATAACATTTCCAAACTCTTAAACCAGAAGATTCATATCTAAAATTGTGGAAGCTACTAAATTGCTCTATTTTGTGTACGGACAGGGTATTTTTTGACTCGTTAACAACACTCACGGCGGCGGTTGTTCCCTTCACTGGATGTTTCGTTAACGCGTCTCGCATGTCCACAGCAGTCAAAACATCATGGTCTTCGTTGCAGTAAGTACGGATCGAGGTCTTCATTGGACAGAGGATACGATCACAAATGTCCTTGCCAGATTGCGGCTCCGAGTAATGATAACTGTCTACTTCAACGCCGACTCTCTCTCCAACATCTTTCACTGCGGCTATCAGGAGGTTGTTGTGGTAGCACCCAGCTTCATCTGATCGTAGATAAACTTTCTGCAACAGAGGATTCCTAACTTTTAGGTGTTCAAGAACGTTTTCAAGAACTGACGTAACTGCATACCAGTCCTGGGTACACTGATCGAACAAGTGCGCGTAGGAAATAACTTCAGTCGTATTTGACTGGCTGCGAGTAATAACACTACTGATATGCCAACTTAGCCCCCTTTTTCCATACCAGTCACTCTGTTTTTCTCTATATCGCAACTGTAGAAACTTCATGGCCCAATCAATTATTAGAAAACATGAGGTTTGGTCAAGCTTTTCGATGATATCTTGCTTCGCACACTCTTGATTCACGGATCTCATTATGTGTGCTTTCCATTCTTTGATTGCGTCTGAAGCTTTCTTGACATCGTACAACAAGTCATCCTGTTGCTCGTCGCTGTAAAAGCTCAAGATTTTGCCATCCTGGACAACCTGGTAAACCTTCTCTAAACAGGAAGTGATGTCATCACATTGGGGGCAGGTAAGTAAATGTTGATGTGTACAATGTTCTTGGAAGTCTGGATCGTTTGGGTCACTCAGACCGAATTTTCGACAATGATCGGAACATTGGCTTTCATCATCCTCGCAGTGACTTTGATATTCAGTTTTGAAATACTTCTTACCGTCCCGAAATGATTTTCGCAATTCATCTGCCACGCTCTTATCTAGCCCAATTTGTTCAAGTTCATCAACTATTCCATGGAGTCGGTGAAAACCTGCTGATCCTTCTACTGCTGTGTTGTCCAAACCACTAAGAGATTTTTGCTGAGACGCTTCTCTTACCTTGAGAATACGGAAAAGAGTGGCCTGGCTTAAAGATTCGAACTGGTTTTCCTCGCAGAATTGGAGATACTGCTTGATCATTGTTGATCTTGTTACCTTCCGAATAACATTTGGCATTGTGATCTTCTCGCCATTTTCAAGCCTGAGCTCCCTCGTACCAAATGCCACATCTTGATAAAAGTAAGGGCGGTTGACAAAGTCGAGAAAATGGTCAAGCTTTACTGGTGGCAATCGAATTCGATGGGACGGCGATGTTTCTACCAAAGACCCGGGACCACATTCTCTTGCATGGGCTCTAGCGCGCTTGATTTGCCACTCGGTTAACTTGGCGTACGGCTCGTGAATTTTCTGAAGCGTCTTCACTGGATATTGATATGCGTATAAACTTAGAATTTGAGTCTTCACGTTTTTCGTTGTAGCATTGCTATAGGCCTGCATTAGCGGTATAATTTCGCTGTAGTTTGTCTCTTTGTTAGCTGTGCAACAACACCGAAACAGCTCTTGCCCAGCATTCGGTGCTATGACGTCACACACGAGACTGCAAGCTTCGATGGCCTTATCAATACATTCCCCTTTGTCGGCTTCTTTAGCATCATCCCACGTGGTTTTCAGCTGATAGGTTAATGGACTGACTGAAGCTGCATTGGTTGCCACTTGGTATAGTTTCTCCATAGCATCATTGAACACTGACATAGCCGACTCGCCCCTGCCCTCAAATACTTCGTCGTCTTCAGAACTTTGGCTGCTTGGCCCTGTCTCGCATCCTAATGTCCAAACTGCTGTAGACTTCGCTGATTTCGATCGAACTGGTGTTACATCAGGGGTCGATGTGATTGCTGCAAGATTCATGGTTGCAATGCGTTTGGCAAGTCTGTTGGAATGATGAAACAAAGTTCGATTTATTATATCGTGAATATTAGCTGAATTTTTTATGGGTTTTATATTTGGTAGGCACTTTACGAGGTAAAATAGATTTTGCGCAACTACAATTTATTGAAAAAGCGGTTAGAATTGGCCATGTTTCTGAAGTTCATAAATACTACCCTTTCTTACTACATCCTACAGCCATGTAAAGTTAGTTGACTAGTTATTGTCTCAGATCGATTGTTCAAATACCGAGCTGACTGCAAAGGGCAAGACATGCATCTAGCATACCATATATATAGCCTATATAATTACCTTGAAGGTTTCTCATCCTGCTCATTGCTGCTTTGAGCCTGTTGCCCTTGCATCCAAGCCATGTTCTCACCAAGCTTTATTTTATGCATGTTAGTGCAAGACACACAAATCACTGAAAAGCACAGTAAATAAACAATAAAGCGCATTAGAACTTAATAAAATCTAAAATTGAATAACACAAAACCAAACGAGATAAACTCGGGTGCCATGTCGAAATAACTATGTACGTTCAATCAGGAATGCATTTATATAGTATTCTTTTACAATAAATTAAACTTACGAGATCCTATTGGAACATGTTTTCCGTAGATTATTTTAATTTCCTTGGACGTGTCAGGGTTAACCGCGTTTCGGGTCTTCAGTTGTTTTTTGCGACCGGAATGTAGTGGGTACTGGCATGTGCGACGTGGACGCCAATTTCTCCCCATATCATTTCTATGTTTTTTACAGATCCATAGATGCTCAAGCTGATCTGATGAAATGTCGTGCGGTAATCCCGACCTGTTGAGAATCAGCTCATACTCTTCAATTTTTCCTTTAAGATGACTTAGATTCCACGTTTGCAATTGATCATCCATATTATTCTTGCATTCAGAGACTTTAGTCAGTTTGACAACAGATTCACTACAGATTGACTCCCCTCTAGTCTCAAATAAACATTTGCATTCCATTGTAATAAAAGATCAGACGATAACAAATGAAAAATGCTATGAATTAATATTTAAGATTCCATCCAAACAATTTTTGTGATTTGTTACTTTCACTTTCATTTCTAAATATGTAACCGTCTGCGATTAAGTTGGTTAGCGGTTTTGTTAGTAACAACAACATCATTATCAAAATGACAATCCGATAGAGTGTGATTTCTTTGAATTCATGCAAGCTTCTGTCGTATTTTTCAAATTTTCTTCTTAAATACCAGACCTGTGATGATTCCCGTAAGATTTCCAAACAAATTCTGTTCCGAAACGATGTTTCAAAAGGATATTTATGCAAATGAAAGTCTTCAAACAACAAAGGTCAGCGCAGGTCAAGAGGGGCATGGACATGTATAAATATATTTAATATGAGATCGACCATGTGAGGAATTGGAAAATGACTGAAAAAGGAACTGAGCTTAAGTTGGTAACGAGGTAAACTGTATATTGTTGTATTTGTATTATAGAATCTTCTTGATATAGTGTGATTTTACAACATGACGACTGATCGCAAATCATAGCAAACGCACGCATATGTGTTGATACAAACGGCCATAACTTTTAAAATACTAAAATCGTACAGGGGTTTTTGCATATATTTGCCGATAAAGGACTACACTTCTTGGATGAATGGGTCCGAGCAAATGACAACGTCCCAAAATGTCAGAAACGGGATTTAAAACAAGGTCATTTACAGTTTAATATTTATAGCGATAAGTAGGGGTTATATTATGCTTAAGTTTGCCTTTACAACTAATATTAGGTAAAAATTATTGTTCGTCGAGAAAACTAGAAAGTTTCATCAGTAAAATGATATAAAATTTATGGCTAGTTGACGCGAATATAATATTTCACGAATCAAAGAAAAATGCGTAATTTTCAATTTTCGAGACGTCCCAATGGACCCTAACAAGACAAACTATTTCTTAATTCGCAGCGCGACTGGAAAAAAGTTTTGAACCAAACCAATACTGTTTTTATTTTATGTTTGGTGAAGTCTTTCAGTTGGCAGAGTTTTAAGGAAGATCATATCTTAAATGAAATTTAAGCGGGCGGTTTTTACAGAGACAGCCTCTTAATAGTTTCGACTGACAGGCTCTTGTATGTTCTTTGCCTGTTTGCTTTGTGCAAAATGCATCTGTCCTGGTCCTCATGATCCTGCAAAAAAAATGAATTTTTATTTCAATTAAAAGTTCAACTCTGCCTGGTGTACAAAATTAATGCTTATCAACATACTTTGCTGACAAAAATATTTCATCAGAATAATTACCTGCAATTCATGCAGCAATTCAGGTGCTTTCTTTAAGGGCTTCGGTCAGGGAAATAACTTTGTCAGCATGACAAAGACATGAGCAATTTTGGAACCCGTATAAAATGTAATTTATTGAAATGAAAAACATTAGCAGATATTTTGTACTGGTCATGTCATGAATTTTATTACACATACCATAAAAAATTTATATCTAACAGTGATAAACAGATAAAAATCATTATCACTGACAACAAAACAAGGATGTATTTTCAGATTTTGCCTTGCATATATGGGTGCCTGAATTCAAGGAGATACATATTTTGAAGTCTCTGCAATGTGCTCCTATGCATTTGGGAACTTTGAAAATAGCATCAAAAATACTGGCAGCCCAAGTTTCACTCTTTTCATGCATGTACACTCTAAAAACATCCTGGTTAAATTTTACCAAAATGGGGTTAAATATTAACCAGGTAAAGTGTCAGTATACCACCTAACCAAGTCTGGTTAAATCAACCAGGAAGTCCTGGTTAAAGAATATTAACAACAGTTCCTGGTTAAATTCAACCTAAAATGTGGTTAAGTATTAATTAGGTAAAGTGTCAATATACAACTCAACAAAATCTACCAGGAAAGCCTGGTAGATGAATATTAACTACAGTTCCTGGTTAACATTAACCAGGAATGTGTTGTTATTTACAATATATCTGTTTGATTTTTTTGAACATCGCATATAAAATAGTGAATATAAAAATCAAGTGTACAAATGTATTGCAAAATCACAAAAGCATTTTATTAACAATGGTACAGTATATATAAATATATATATAGAAGCAATAACAGATAGAAGCAATGACAAGTATGAAAGACACATAAACAATCAAGCCTTTAATGCAGCCCGTATGGAGATAACAGACGGAGCAGTTTTTTATGTTTGCACCTGTCCTCCAAACCAAAAATTACTTTTTGGAAAAATTCCCATGTGATGCCACATTGCCAGGGGTATTCGATATCCATAATATAAAACATCTTGAAACAGGTGTCGATAGCAGTCAACAAATTTGACCTCTCCAATGCTCTGCCTTTGCTAACAACAAACACTTGTTGAGGACTGGTGACACTTCCATGAACCAGAACCTGTGGCTCATCAGTGGAGTTTTCCTCAAGATATTTTGGCATGTTGGTACCAATCTATTTATATTGGGGAAAATTCCAAATTAAATCAAAGCAGTTAAAGAGCAGTCATCAGACTAGTTTTCAGTACCTCTGAGTCTACAGTTTGGTTTCTGCAGATTGAGAATTTTACTCATCATGTTGACATTTATAATATAAGTTGGATAATTATACACTAATTTATGTATGCGAGTACTAAATGCTTAATTTAAGGCAGATGTAGATGTTAATTCCCCAATATAGAGAGTGGCCTAAATAGTGTAGGTATAATGTACTCCATTAAATTCATGGATTAGCTTCAAAATAAATAAGAATAAATATTCATAGATACAAAATCATCCTTACTGGTTGAACATCAACAAAAACCTTGATAGCATCATCAATGGTGCTTTTCTTTTTCCCTTTGCGTCCAGTAGGAAATATTGCTGGTAAGAGCACAATTGCAACATTTTGTTTTTCCTCATCTAGAAGAAAAAGTATTAATTATTTTCATCATTGTAGAACAAACTGCTTGCTAATTGCAGTAAATGTTCTGTGTGACAGAAAAGACAAAACATGCTTTACAGCAGCTTACCAGTGTTGACTTTCTGCATGTCAACATGGAGGTAACTGTGCCAATTTGCTTGGCTGTTAGCATAGGCAATAACTTTTTCAGCAAAAGATGGTGTCCATTTTAGGAAAAGATTATCTGCAACTTCACCAAATATTTCTTCAAAGTCTATTTCAATCTAGATAGGTAAATAAACAAACAGTTAAATGGTGTGGTATAATTATGCCATCCTATTTCCATTTTATTGTGATGACAGTCCTTCCAGGCAATGCCACTCCATAGATGAAGAAAGAATATCTTCATGTTCACATCCTAGGATAGGAATTTCCTGTTAAATTTTCCTGTGTACAATACTCACCATACCAGGTATGTCGAACAACCTTGGATGTTCTTTCAGTATATCACAGACTGATAGTTGAGGGTTTTCCTTAATCCATGCAGCACGACTGATTGATGTTTTCTTCATGTATTGCTTTACTTTGCTGAGTGGTTCGATGTGATGCTTTAACCATTCTACCATTCCCATGTATTCATCATCACTTATTATGCATTCTGAGATAGGGAAAACAGATTACGTTACGTTCATTGTGCTGTACCATTTATATTTTGAATTGCTGTCATTCGGTCACTGCGCTGGTGGGAATTACGCTCACTGTACAAAGTATGGGATGCAATGGCCTTTTTACCTGGTAATGCACCAACTTTAACAAGCTTAGAGCTTGGCGCACTAGTTGACACACCAACTTTTTTCCCCTCTGTTGAGCGTCTTCTGACATTTCTCAATTTCTCTTCAAGCCACCCTGTAGCTGAATGAATGCCCATCCCAGGAGTGTACCAAGCTTCCTGCAAAACATTTGAATTATGTATATTGATGGGCAACATTCATGTTGACTTGCGATATTTATTTCTTTATATTTGTGTAATTTTAATGTCTTGGGCGAATTAAATTGGAAAAAAAAGTTGTTCAATGTTATGGTTGTCATTAAAGCTTACAAATCCTTGGCCTTCTTCATCCTTAAGAAAGGGGAATTCCTCAACTACAGCTCTGGCCATGGACACTTTTACATCTGCTCGTGGCCTGTTGAAATAATCAAAGAATGGCTATATTTAAGAACTCTAAATTCTATGAATGAACAAAAGATACTGTATGCCATCTTTTAATGTCAAAAAATTGTATTTTTGATTTTGATTATGTAATACGTTGTACAGTATATGTAGAGTATAATTAATTGCAACCTGTCCCCAAATCTCTCAATCATCTCGGCTACAAGAACCTGAACCATCTTCAATCTCTGTTTTCTGGGTAGTCTCCCGTTATCCAATTCAAACAGGATTTCTTCGCCAAGTGCAGAATTTTCAAGAATTGATCGGATGCTCTAAATATAGTTGATATTAATGTTAATTAATTAGCATTATAATAATGCCAAACTAAAATATTACGTATAACATTAAGTATATGTAATATAACATTAAGTATATAGTCGGTGATTATTATTAATATGGAACATACAAAATCAGCCTTTAATTTCTTTGCATTGATTTCTTTGTGTTTTGATGAATCTGAAGCCTGTAATGTAAAATTTATAGCTGAAATCTGCAGAAAAGTTCAATGTTTAACCGGGAGAATTCCGGGGGCAGAATCATGAATGTCTTGCCGGTGAATTGACACAAGATCGAGAAGTTGTAATGGTGGAGGGGACCATACTAAAAATTTGTGTTTGTATGTAAATATTACTAAATTTGAATTTCTTTTGCTTTTTCTCATCGAATTATAACACTAAAATTTCGACACTGCCAAATCCAGCATGGAACTTACATGGAATGCATATTGGGCATCAAGGCTATGGTAATTAATAGAGAGGTTAAGAACCCCGGTTTCGGTATACAGGTACGGGTAGCCATATTTTGTTTATTGGAATTTCTTGTTTTTTGCACGTTTCAAGATACAAATCATGCTTGCCTCAAGTCTACTGGAAAATAATCTTGTTTTTTGCACGTTTCAAGATACAAATCATGCTTGCCTCAAGTCTACTGGAAAATAATTGTCAAGATAATCTTCGAAAAAATTGAGAAACACTGATGGATATTCATAGCACAAAATAAGGGTACCCGTACACTGGAACTGCGGTATCTTAACCTCTCTAATGCATAATTGTGAAAATTCTAAGCTTACAAAATTCCTATTGGAAGAACTTGCTGTACTGGACATCTCAGTCCTCACTGCCACTGCCACAGGTGTCTCAGCACTCACTGTTGTCACAGAAGTCCCAGGAAGGAACTAAAATATGAATTGTACACAAATACATGTTATAGATAGATATACAACCAAGCCCCAGGGAATAGCTGGCCTTACACTTCTGTTTGTAAGTTGTATGAAACAAGACTGCAAACAAGCTATTGAAAAGTATTGGGAAACTTGTTTGCAAGTTGTAAAATAACATGCTTGTTTAATCATCCAACTTGTTACAAGGCTGTCCTAACAAGACTGCACAGTACATATGCATAATATAACAATATTTTTACAATCTTGTGTTGTCAAGCTTGTAGCAACCTTGTTATATCATAGCTGTACGTAGCAGACAAGCGGGATAAAAACATCCCGTCCTGGCTAGACAGGACCATATAAGCAGGCCCTAATATGTTGGTAATAAGTGCCCAACCTATCAATGTATTCTGTGGCGTATGGTAACATAATTGAGCCAATCTCCTTTATAAGCCTTTGATGCATGGTATGCTTGTCGATCATATATATTATCCACCAGAGTTATAGACCAAACTGGTTCAGCTGATTTTGTAACAACGTAGGTATGAGTATGTCGCTCATATTTAATGGTTTCCCAGAGTGCTGTAACAAGTCTGACATGACTTCCATCACAAATGATGAAAATAATTTCCTGAAATATGGGCAGGCCATCTTCTGATTTTCCTGTGATAACCAACACATTTCTTGAGTACTTTATTCCATTGACTACACACCATTTAGCAACATATACCTCACTGAAGAGATTTACATGAAGGGCAGTGCTCAAAAACTCTGCTTTTTCCAAAGAGGCAACTAGGGTAGAGGTTCCTGGCCCAATTTCAATATCCCTGTCGATAAGCTCCTTTCCACACATCAGGTTGTAGCATAAAAACATCTGCTGCCTCTCTGCCAATGTTTTTAGAATATTACGATAATTGCAAACAATGTGGCCAAGTCTTTTGAAAAACCGATGCTTGGCCTCAAATCGCATTGTCCAATAGTTTATTAGTGGGCCAAGTAGACGTATTTGTTGTGGATAATGTGTCATGAAATGGTGCTTTGGCTTCAAATTGCGATTGGGACATATCTGCAGAAAGTAATCATGATGGTCTTTTATAAGTTGTTTTAGAAAATATGTCTCCTGTGTAGTAATTTCTGGGCAGAAGATGAAGTCCATACACTCAAGAAGGAGAAGAATGAGCTCTAAGTGTTCATTACCCTCTGGAACTAGATCTGCAATCATAAGTGGGAGATAGCGAATGAGACACCACATTTGCGATGCTGTCTGGCCTGTTGCACCATCTGGGTGTTGAATCTTATTATTACTGATGGGTGATGGTTTGTTCTTGGAATCGCATGGTGCATAATCGAAACTGGTGATTCTGCTGTTTAGAGTGTCAAGATCAAAAAACCCTGCTTGGATAAGATTGCCAAGAACAACATGAACCTCCAGTCCACAAACACCCTCAAGCAAATCGTGCATCACATCAGGTGCATTGTTTGTTGTAACATGAAAGTTTTCAACATTGTTCAAAAGACACGCAGCTTTTACACCCGTTGAAGTGGGATCATTTCGTAATAAATCTTCACCATAGTTGTCGACATTACGAAGTAGCTCATTGTTCGCTGTTAGTGCTCTACGCATTTCTTGGATATGCATTTTGCAGTTTCTGCAAAAATGGTGACTGAGAAAGCATTCCACAAAACCACATATACCATTAACACCTAAGTTGTCACCAGTTACCTGTGCAACACTAATTTGAATCCTGCCTTGGAACACATCTGTATCTATTTGAAGACCGTCCGTTTCTAGTTCTTTAATATCTTCCACCAGAGGTTGCAAAATAGGGTCAAAGCCGTAGGTTTTAACATCGCCTGAATTATACAGTCCAACTAAGTAGCAATTACATAAAGAGGATCGAAATTTTGGTGGTAAATTGAGGATTGTACAGTATACAACACCTATCTTGTGTATACCTGCTTTTGATCCGAGTGGGTTTGCAATTTCGCAGTCGTCCACATATAAAAGCAAGGCAATGTTTCTCGAATTCGAAAAAAAGACATGGCCGCGACAAAATTCTCCGTCATGGAAGTCTCGCATAACTCCGTCATCACTTGGTTGGTATTCGAAGACAGCTCTCATGAACCCTTTACTTTCCAAAATGTTCTTGAGAAGTTTCTTGAGAGGAATGTACTGAAATGTGACGTGTCTTGCCACTTGATCAACATGGCCAGTGTTTGGGTTGCTGCGTGGATAATAAGCAATGGCAAAAGGTACCTCTTGGGGTTTTATAAAATGACCGGTCTGACTAAAATACTTCTGCTGTTGATAGACAGTACCTAACTGTTCAAAAGGATGTTGGAAATCGTGGAACATTTGTATAAGATCTTGTCTTTCGGGATCTTCATTAGCTATACCTTTATTATCTAATAGTTGTTCAGTTTTGTTCTTTAATGACTCGATCATCTGCGAAAACATGTCTGAGCTCTCACTAACAACATTATCTACTGTTGATTGGACAACACTGCTTGACGACTTCAACTTAGCAATTGTAGATGCCGCCAGTTCAGTGACTTCGACTCGACTAAGAATCTGAGATCTCATGTTATCAATATTGAGAGGAGGAATGTCATCAAAGGGCCCATTATTGGGAGGATTTTCATCACTATCATCATTGTTTTCATAATCGCCATTGTTCTCGCGATCATCACAATTAGGATCGATATTTTTGTGTTTATTTTCGATGTGACGTTTTAAAGCAACAGAAAACCGAAATGTTTGCATGCATCCATCTTGCCCACACGTAATTGGGCAGGTGAACATACGGCCTGACATTAAAGCATGTCGATTCCTGATATGCCAAATAAGACGATTTCCATCTCCATGCACTACTTTATCACACCTAGAGCAAATGTAGCCCATTGTTCATCGACAAGAAAACAATGCTTTATATGTATACCTTTTCTTTCACCAACATTTTTAGCAGCTTTTGTCTAGGCCCAATAGCTACAACCATTTCCTTTACAGATGCTTCATCTAAGAGTTCCAAAGCTTCTTTGTCAATCATATTCTCTATAATAATGGAAAATAACTTCATTAAATGAGAAGTGCAAAATTATTGGTATTTTATCATGCATATATAATAGAAGTGTGCAATTTCCTCCTATTATTATTTTTGTAATCTTTTCTAATATTGTTACAGTGCCTGCCAACACCATACGGCCACGGAGAGGGGAGCATTTTGTCCCAGGCCCCGAACCTGAAGGGGCCCCCAACTTAAGAAAGAACCTAGAATTAAAGCACTTTAGAAAATATTGGGCTCAATCTATTGAAAGAAATATTTGCAGTTGATTCACAGATATTTAAAATCATAATGTCAAATAAAAAAATATTTTCATATTCAAGCATTGACAGAGCATTGACATTGCATAAAAACAACATTGTTTTAAATATTCAGCAAAAATATAGTAATAACAATTCAAAAGCAACAAGCTTCCTTTTTTGTCAAATACAAATACATGTATAGTCAAAGAAGAGAGTAAAAAGTGCGAAGCAAATCTTGCAGTAAGTGCGTGGCGTATTAAAATGGCCTTCAAATATCTTTAAAATGCAACCATAAGTTGTCGTCTGTCTTGAAAAGTGCCTTGGTAGAGGCGTGGAGCATTAATTATACACAACTATCAAATATTTTCAACAATTTTTCGAATATTTCAAATGTTAAAAGCCACATATATAGTCATGTCTTCTGTCTGAAAACATATTTACAAGTGGAAAATAAATGCAAAAACCGCAAGTTTGTATTGATCCTACCTTCAAATATTTCTTGCAAGCAAAGAAGGTTCCATTCCTTGAGTTTCTCCGATACAAATCTATCCATATAACTATTTTTATGGCGTATTTTTTTGCGGAATACTTCGATAGTTCGTTTGAACGAAAAACTTAAATGAAAAAAAAACACAAAAGAGCGCGAAAAGTCAGGTTGGGAGCTTATTCGTATAAACTCCTCGGTTTTCATTGGCTTGTACTTACGGGGATTAGGAACGTATACCCGAAGAAAATTTCCTCCACTACGGCATTTACCCATTACGTCATTAATCTGTTTTAATTTGGTTTGGCACAGTCAAACAAAATGAACCTAAAATACTATAATGTGTACTAGTATACGTAAAGAACGCTCGATATTATATCGAATGTAAAGGTATGATTTTAATCGCCAGATATTAAAAATCGATAAAAAACGACATCGCACATGCAAGGATTTAGTCGACTGACTAAAATCGTACGACGAAAATTGTGTCGTGTGCGGCCCGGCTTTAGAGGGATATATAAAAGTTCTGTGCATCGGTTCCACTCATAACAATGGGTAGGCTACTCATTTTAAAATTGCTGAAATTTAGTATGCTTCTAATTTTTATGAACATAAACGCTAACTCATATTCATTTAAATCTATAGTGAACCAAAGTAGTGTTAATCAGTTAATTTTTTGTTACATTTAGAAGGTCTGGATATATCCAAATGGGAAGAATTAAGGGGTGGGGCTTTATAATTTTTAGGGATATTTTAAAGGTATGGTACAGTCCCTAACTTAAATAAATGCTTTGTTTGCATTTTAAAGTACTCAATGTCTTGAAATATCAAATACAGTCAGAATATTTAACACTATTTTGATTTTGCTTTTGTTCTAAATGAACATAAGTTAGAGTTTATGCTCAGAAAATAAGAAACATGCTAAATTTCAGCCATTTTAAATCAAGTAACCTACAAATTGTCTGGGCTGTAGCTAGAAGCTTTATTGGGGTACATGTGTATATTAATTCAAACATTCATCTTATGGAGACTGATTTATTTTGTAGGCTATTGTTCCTGTGGTAGATAAACATGAATATGACTATACTCCCCTTCCCCTGCCCTATGAAGCAGCCCAGCTAAGCCCTGCCTATTGTTATGGGAAGAGTCATTTCCACAAGTCTAAGGCAAGACCATATAGGGGGGGATGACAAAGGGGGGCATGTAAATTTTAAAATACAGAAAATTCAGCACTCTTTAAACTGGGTAAGAGGTCTTTTATTCAAATCATTTAGTGACTGTGAAAAATAACAAGGACAGGAGCAGTTAGGAAAATATTTCAAGGCGGGAAAATATTTCTTAATTGTTGTAATTAATGCTTAGTAAATATAAAAAGGCAAGTTCTCGTCTACAATTGATGCAAAGTATGAAATCTTATCTCACACCGTCAACCTGTGTTAAGGGCTTTGCTAGACAGTGATAGTTCCATTGTTAACCTATAGCTGCACTACTCACTCAGCATATACTAGAACACAGATTTCCTAATTGGAATGTCTACAAAACAGAATGAAGGGGATGATCATAATCATAATTTTATTTTTTTTATTATGTATGTAAAAACCTAACAAGGTTGAATCAAATAATAACAATGTATTTACCCATGCAGTTATGTTGAATAATTTACATACGATGTAAACATTCAAATTATATGGTCAGACTAAAATAAGAAGGACCAGTAAGCACCAATACTCTGTTATCAAGGTAAATTGTCTGACATTTATATGAACACAGAAATTTTCTCATATGCATAGCGTGGCAAAATTGTCGGGCTATAGCTTCGCCACTTCACCCTGAGTGTATTAAAACCTGCACTCCACTCACTTCATTTATCGGACAAACAACGTCATTATTGACCATAAAAATCTCTTACCCAAACAAAGTAGTATCGTTCGCTTCGCTTTATACGACTCCGATTGTCTTTTTATCTTGTTCGTGCCAAAACAGACATACTACAGCCAGTTGAAAAAACAAAAATCGCCAAAAATGCGACGCCATTTTTTTTTGTTTTTGATGAAGGTATTCTTCCTTTAAAGTCTCCTGGTTAAAACAAATTAACCAGGAAACGGGTTACAAGTATTCCTGGTTTAAAAACATGAAATAACCAGGAATTTCAACCAGGATTACCGAGTTTAACCCAAATAGGGTTATTTCCACATCAACCAGGAAATTTTAACCAGGATGTTTTTAGAGTGTATATTTTTACCTGGCTTGGGGCTTCGTGGAGGTTTCAATCCCTTGCTTATTTCATAAAACATCAGAATATCAATTTCCTCAACAAGCCGATCAACGCATTCACTAATGCATGAACTGGATGCGGCCAGTAGAATTGACATTCAATGACCGTCGAACTTCTTCTATAATCTATCGATGTAATTGAATTTAAGGTGGCTCCCTACAGTTTTACGAATATTGAAAACTAATGATTTAGATTGAAATTTTTGGCAGGAAATTTCTTGCTAAGCGGAAGTGAAATTTTCCAGATATATTAATCAACATTCTAACAGTCGAAAATTGTCTTTGAGTATCACGTCATTACCGTTGTTATGGTAACAATGGCGATTCAATATGGCCGTCATTTTACCTATTTACGCATTTTACTCGAAAACAAGTTTGGTTACCCCAATTTTTTATTTTATAAAAAGTTTTCTAACAACAAGTTTTTCTTGAGCAAGTTTAAAAAAATTCTATAGAGCCAAAAAATTTCTATAACGAAAAATCACGTTTTTTAATTTTTAATAATTTTGGCTCTATAGAATTTTTTAACTGCTTCAAATTTTCCATTTTTTTGTAAGAAAACTTTTTGTAAAATAAAAAATTGGGGTAACCGAACTTGTTTTCGAGTAAAATGCGTGAATAGGTAAAATGTCGGCTATATTGAATTGCCATTGTTACCATAACAACGGTAATGACGTCATGTTTATGCGCAATTTCTGACTGTTAGAATGTTGTTTAATATATCTGGGAAATTTCTTTTCCTTAGCAAGAAATCTCGTGCTAAAATTTTAAATGAAAACCACAAGTTTTCAATATTTTAAAAAATTGTAAGGAGCCACCTTAAATTACTGTTTTATTTTTATGCAGTCACATGATGAGTCCTTTTGTTTTTCCTTGCTCGTGAAAAGTGCTGGATACTCATGCCTAATTTCAGCTAAAGGCCTCTTCTCATTAATAAACCTCCTCCGGTGGGGAAATGTAAGGTCCATCGTTGAGTGAATTTTCTCTAAATTGGGGTTTCTCTTGCGAAATTCCTTCTTCATGAAAGTGACATGTGCTTTCATTGATGCCTTATCTTCTCCCTCAGAGGATATGCTGGCTCCCAATTTATTCCTCCTCTTCTGAGAGACTTTTTAACAACTTTAGTGTTGGAGTCCACTGACTTTCTTTTTCGTTGAAGAACCAACAGGTCCTGTGCGTGCTTTCTTTCATTCCTAAATTTCTCATAAATTTGAGAATACGAAGAATCCTGCAAATGTATAAAGGAATTTTGAATCAGTGCATGGGGCCATTTCACTATCTATATCTTTCCTCTTTTTCTCTCGTTCTCTTTTTTTAACACACCTTTGCGTTACGATGCATTCACTTCTGAAAGATTTCCAATTGATCATTTAACTGGGCAGTATTAACGTATATGTGACCCTCCACGGGAAACATACATTAACGCTTTTCCGTTTAAATGGGCAAAAAAATGGATTAGATTAAAAAATGGATTACCAAACGAATGCCGTAAAACGTTTTCACGCTTCGTTAAGGCGTTTAAACGGTTCGATAAAATTGTTTAATGCTTTGAAGAAAGCGTTTTTACGCTTTAGAGAAACCGTTTGCACGGATACGAATAACCGTTTTTATGGGCCATTATCTGTGTAAATGGATAGAGGAATTTACCCGTTTTCACGGATGAAGCCGCACTATTCTCGGGAACCGCTTGCTAGACATACACTGGGTTTTGAATCATGCGTCGGTAAAATGTCAACTCTCTATAATAATAATAATAATAATAAATGTCATTTTATATAGGGCCATTAGAGTTCAATAGCGCTTTACAGAGGTAAAAGCGATAAAACACCAATTAACAATATATACAAATAAAACCAGACAAATCAAACCTAATTACTAAAACTAAGATTAAAAAGCCATGTCTTAAGGTGTTTCTTAAAAGCACTATATGAGTCTATCTTCCTCGAATCAGAAGGCATTGAGTTCCATAAGGTAGGTGCAGAGATGGAAAAAGAACGTGCTCCAAACGTCTTGAGATTAAACTTCGTTTGACAAAGAAAACCTTGGTCCGCTGAGCGAAGGGTCCTGGTGGGAGCATAGGGTGTAACTAGCTCACAAATATAAGGTGGCATCAGTCCCTTAACCCTTTCCTGCATAAATTTTGATTTTTTAAGGAAAAAAATATCTGATGGCAAATTATACATATTTGGGCAGGCTCTTTGTCATCTGAATAATAAAAAAAAAAAATTGGGGGTTTTCGAGGGTATTTTGGAATTGTTGCTCTGGAGCAACATTGTGCAGAAATGGTAAAATAATATGGTATTGTAAAAGAAACTAGAGACAGAGCTATATGTTCTGAAGTATCTTATTTACCTAGAGTAATCATGCTAATGACAATTATATACAATTATTTACAATGGAAGTCTTCAAAGACTTCTAAAACAGTTCTTCCCTATCACCAAGCATAGGTGGACTTAGCACTTTGAGATAGTGCTATATTGTTCTGAAGTCTCTTATTTTCCTGGAGTAATTATGCTATGGACTGTGATTTACAATTATTTACAATACTATTTACAATTACTTACAATGAAAGTCTTTAAAACAGTTCTTCCCTCTCACCAAACATAGATGGACTTGGCACTTTGTACATTGAATAAATGAATATCCTTTTGGACAATGGCGACAGCGCTGTTTTTTCTCACTAAAATCAGGCATATGTCCAACCCCATCATATCTCACATCAGCTATGGGAGTAGGGATTACATGACACTTGGTTTTCTTCTTTGGAGGGGGTGTCAAGGACGGTCGGCCGCGCTGTGGTTTTCTGACCTTGTCCACCATAAGTAGGGCAGTTGCAACTTGTGTCTGAAATTTTAGGAGATCCATTTGGGCTTTTCCTGGTACATTTTTCTGGGATGCATGTCTTCGATAGAGCAGCCAACCATTGACAATTGAAAGGTTGAGGCAATAGTATAGGATGTGCATGTAGAATTTTGTGGAGCGTAACTTGATTCGATACAAGGCCATCAGCATATCACATAAGTCGACACCACCCATGTGCTCATTATATTCCTCAACTATCTGGGGTCTTGGTATTTCAACATGCTTTTTCTCTTTCGTTGACCATCGCTTAGCTGGTGTTCCCATGGAATTTCCTACATGGTTGGAGATCAACTGAACCAAGCCATTATCCATCCATCTCACTATAGTAATATTTGTATCAGCATCAACACACCAGTCAGAAGAACCCCGTCCTTTCTTGCTCAACTCTTTTTTGTTGTTTAGCAATTTTTCCGCCCCTTTCAATCGATCAGCTCTAATCGTACCAACAGCCCAGATTCTTGCTTGTTCTAGATGCCGTAGTAGATGGACTGAGGAAAAATAATTGTCAAAATACACTTTGTGCCCAACATTCTTTGGAAGGGAACTACACAAATGCCTGACAACATTGCCACCTACTCCTAGGAGGGGATCATCGTCCTCTGATCCAGAGCCACTTCCAGTGTATATTTGAAAATCATACACCATGCACTAACTCCACATCTTGCCCACACCTTTATACCCCATTTGTGTGGCTTCTTTGGGAGATATTGTCGTAGACCAGTTCTACACTTTGTAGGAATGATTTGTTCATCAATCGAGTGCTTTTCTTCCTGGGGAGTAGCTTGCATTTCTCCAAGACGGAATCAATCACTGGTCTCACTTTGAATAATTTGTCGTGGTTGGGATTATCTCTTGGGAGCATTTCTGTATTGTCATTGCAATGCAGGTACTGCTTCAGCTTGTCGAACCGGCCCACACTCATTGTGTCAGCAATCGATGGAATACGAGTGCCATTGCTCCAATACATTCTATACTGAGGTTGCTTGATTACACCCATCATCAACAGTATTCCAAAATACTGCTCTAGTTCATGTTTGGTCATCTGAACTGATTTTCCACTTTTTTGCACCGAATACAGGTTACTTTGATCAACAATATGATCAAGAAGTTCATTGCCAAAAAATTGTTTGAAATATTCAATAGGTGTCAGTTCATTTTCAGGTGGATCAGGAAAGGGGGCTCCAGTAAACATAGTATCAACATCAGCTGGCAATTTTCTCTGCCATCGGTAAGATGTTTCTTTACTTTTATTCTTTGAGCTCTTTTCACCTGATGGTTGTGGTGCATCATTATTTTGCTCTTCATCCTCTGAATCATAATCACTTGATTCATCAACATCATTGTCGGGAATAAAAGTTTCATCATTTGACAAACCCAGATTTTCTAAGGCCTGTTCTGAATTGTCCTCCTCTGAACTGCTATCATCACCAGGGACAATTACATTTGTGATCCTTGTTTCAGTGTGTATGCCACTATCTGTCAACCGAATTCTTTGATTACGACTCTTCCCATAAAAACTTGCTGTTGAAATACTATTTGCCATTTGCCTAAAAAACACAAAAATTCAAATTATATCATGTGAAGCCAGCAAGTATTGTTGATACCCCACTGTATCTGTATTCTAGCATTCAAAATATGAAAAATATAATCATTTCGTTTGAATAGCACCATATTTTTGCCTATATTTCATTGAATTCAATACATAAACGCTTTACACGCTTTTTTAAGTGTATATAAGGTCATATTTTCTAGTAAAAGCCGTCGAAAACCATGTGGTTCTTTACTAATTTGTATACATATTTGTATCCCGTACAGCCGTACTGCATGATGTTGCTTCACAGCAACGATTAATAATGCATTATTTTCGTCAAAATAAATCGCAAAATCTGTCCAAAGAGTATTCAAGATACATCAATATACTATTAAATATAATATTTCAAAATAAAACTCAAGTAAAACACAGCTTACCTTAGTGTTTAATTACATTGAAGTTTGAGCGTCGTGACAGTCCGCCATTTTACAGCGTGGTCGAAGAAAATTTATTCAGAATACTTTGTATAAGCAAAATATAGCTATCCCTGCATGCATAATAAATTGTTAGATGCTTCTCTTGAACCTACAGGGGACCCACGATGATAACAGCTAATTGCCGAATTTTAATTAAATTATGAAAGATTGTTGCTCAGGAGCAACACTGTGCAGGAAAGGGTTAAGAGCTTTAAATGTTATAATCAAAAGTTTAAATTTGATTCTTTGTTCAACTGGGAGCCAATGTAAACCCTTGAGTAGAGGGGTCACATGCTCAAAATTTCTACATTGAAAAACTCTGTTGTTTTGTTTACTGCACGGGGAACACGATTTTACAGTAACGAGTGGATGTAAACATACGAGGTTTATGTTTAATATATAGTAAGCTATGAGAGAGAGAGCTTCGCTATGCACACCCCGTTTTGATGTTGAGGTACATCGCATATTTGGAACTAGCTAGCTATAGCAACAATAAAGAACAATTGTGTGAATAGCAAAACACCTACACATGCCACTACAGATATATATATGATACGTGCGATCCAACAGCTTTAGGGCTAATTACACGTCCTTAGTATATGTCATAAATATACTTATGCATGATCGATCAATGTCATACCTTGTTGTGGCAAGCCAAACTGGACAAAAGTTTGTCGAGATCGACGAGATGTGTACGCGATAAACCTGGTCAATGCATGACTCGCAAGGAGGGAAAACAAAAAGTTGTCTTACTGAGTAAAGTCTATATCTATTAGCTGTTGGTTCATTTGACGATCTTGAAGTTGAAGGTCTTGAAGTAGATGGCCGACGGGATTTGTGCGTCTTTCTCTGCTCGCATTACTGCTCGTAAAAGTACGTCTCACCTTCGATTCGTTGTCGACTTGATTCGGTCGTCCTGATATCGCATCAGACAGTTCCCCGATTCTTGAAATCGATTGATATCGTTTGATAACGTTTGATTCGAGATTTTGCCGTTCACGATTACCGTCCAGATTCCCGTCTGCCATATTTGAATGGAGATCGCTAGATAGTATACTCCAAAATAAGGTTTCCGCGCGGAGGTCTGGAAATGAGTTTGTCAAAATTGTCAATATCTTCGGAAATTAACGAAAGCAGCAGCAAAAAGGGCGATCGTGATATATTATGTGTGATTTTTATATACGAGCGAAGACTACGTGGTTCAAGTTCCCTTTAAACTGGAACTGGATTTTTTATACGTCTCCCGCTTAGTATTTCAGGCAAGAAAGTGTTTAGTTGTTAGTATATGTTACAACTACAGTCTACTGTGATTGTTTTGTTTAAACGAAATTTTTACAACAATGACAATGTGCATAATACAGTCTATATAAATGTAGATATGTATAAACAGCTATTGAAATAGGGTGTAGAAATTGG